ATCTCAATACAAGAAAGTCAACCAGAAGAGCTCAAGAACTAACAATCCCCTGCTCTAAGGTATCACTAGAAGAGACAATGGAAAAGGTTATTAATATGGATCCAAATCCTCAAACCTTAGCTCCAACTAATAAAGTGAATTGGGTAGATATCGAAAGATAGAAAGAGGTCATTATTAGAGACAATATTATAGAAGGGGTATATCAGGACCACCTAATAGAAATACTTTAACATAACCTGGAATCCAATGTTAAAAACTAATCTTCTATTATGACAGATCACTTATTAATCATGGAAAGAAAGAAATAAAGATGGGAGCAGCATGGATCCAGATAGAAGATATGGGCAGAGAAAGTAGTTTTCAAACAGGAGTAGACAATTGGCCCTCCTCAACATGTGCTGAACTTGTAGCAATTGTCACAATACTTTTGATGATTCCAGTGGACAGTGACATAAAAATCCATACAGATAGCCAGGCCTGTATCTCCAAGTAGAAAACAATAGAAAGAGATGATCCAAAACAAATTCACAAAAGATGGTTAAAGGAAAAAAACTGGTCCCTGTGGGCATGAATGTTAGAATTGGTAAAGAAAAAGATCATAAACCTGTAACTTATCAAGGTTAAAGTACATTCCAATAATCATTACAACAAAGAAGCAAATGTCCTAGCCAAAGAAGCTCTGAAACTCCTGGCAATAGAATGGAAAAAACTAACCTCATACAAGATCATCACAGAAATCAGATGGCAAGAAAAGATGCTGGATGACCCAATAAGACAGTTTGTCAAAAAAGTAAACAATAAAACAATTGCCTTTCAGTGGACACAACAAAACAGAATCGAAAAAAGAAGGAACTACCAAATTATAGAACAGCAAGATTATACTTGGGACCTTGTATAGGAAAGAATGAAAGAAGAACACACCTGAGACACTTCCTTTAAACAATCGCAACGAAAAAGCTTCCTCTTAAAACTAATGAATAATGAGCTATCAACTCTGAACAAGCTGATAACTAGAAGGTCCGACCTTTACAAACAAGTGAAGTGTATTGCATGTAGCTAGCAAAGTGAAACTTTCGAACATTTACTAGAGTGTCTAGTATACAAAAAACAATTACAGGAAGCATAGAATAAAGGACAAGATGGAATCCTTAGAGACTTCAGAGGGCTCTTACAGGAAAGGAAAAAAGAGGCAGAAGAAAAACATGTAAAGTTGATTATCCAAGATGAAAAAGAAATGGTTAAGTTGGATAAATGGATCTCCAAACTAATAGAATAGATCTCAAAAATCAGTCAGGGCACTCTAAGTTTTTGTACAGAGCTAGTAAGAAGAGACCTAATCCTAGAAATGGCAGATCTAAAATGCTATGGAAAAAGAATTGGTAATAAAGCAAGAAGATGGATATCAAAGATACAAAGAAGAGTGTGCAATCAAATAAGGAAAAAGATTTGAAACAAAAGATGTGAGAAAATAATCGAATGGAAACATGCACAGGGGATCCTCAGAGTAGAAAAAATCAACTGACTCTTAGGCACACATGGCTTAAAACCATTAGTCCCAAAAAGTAAAGATCCTCTACCAGAGGAAGGAACTTAAGAAAATGAAAGCCTGAAAGAAATTCTACTCAAAGGTGTTACTTATGGAATAAAGTGGTTGAGTTTTAAGCTTGGCCAGAACAATGAATAGTGATCTGCAGGCAATAATGTTAAAGGTTGGAAGGATATTCACCTGAACCATTAACAGAGCGATAAATCACTCCCGAAGTTGCACTTAGAGTTTTGGTATATTAAGACAAAACAGTAATAAGTGAGTTAGGTAAAGTCTTAGCTTTAGTGAATCATTTAAAATGTATAGTATACAAACGTTTAATAAAGTACACGTACCTAGCCTGATCTAGGATAAAAAAAAAAAAAAATAATAATAATAATATTTAAAAAAAAAAAACTCTTTCCCACTTTCTCCTACTTTGTGAAAATTTTCTTTTTGAGAGGTTTTCTTTTCACTTTTTCCCTTTTTTACTCCATGCACGCAAATAACAACCATACAGCAGACAAAGTCTAAGATGTGCTAATATTACACAAGGCTCTATTATTTGACTTGTTGATGTATAGAAGGTATTACGTCTAGGGAAGCACGAGTGACCTGCACTCTGCACATGACAAACGTCTGAGACAAAGAGAAATGTCCTTAGGGGTGGGGACACTCACGGAGCGAGGCTTTGTATTTGACTGAGTCGTTATAGATAATAATATCTTTATTCTCCTTAGTTTTTTCCAACTTCTTAAACTTCTCACATTTCTTCTTTTTTTCCATTCACTCTCACCCCTTTGTTTTATACCCTTCCTGTCAACAGATAGTTTTCCCTTTTTTCAAGATTTTCTTCCTAGGCCTATCACTTTTCCTCTACCGAACCATTCCATCAACCCATGGTATATCAAACCTTCTCTCTGAACAAGTTAGTGGGCTTAACTTATGAAAAAGGATACTTGATAACACCACCACTACCCAAACTCAAGAAGAATAACTATAGGATTTCCTTTTGTTTTAACTGTCTTCCAAACTCCACCAAAAACCATGGTCAGCTTACCCCCTCCAAAAGATCAGCATAGGTTGATCATGCCTTATTAGAACTAAGGCCCCTAGTAAGAAAAGACCCATGGCTTATACCTCAATCCATTTGCCCTTCTAGCTCAAGATATCCCAATATAATGCTCTGCTTAAATGAAAATCAGCCAAACAGGATTGATCCGATACCACAGATGGTGACAAAGAAAGCAAAGTGTCCCCTTCCGAGGTCTGAGCAAAAAATATCTCTGGGAGTATCAAAGGGTAAAACCAAATCCCACTGAATACATACTATATAGCCTAGTCTAGCGAATATAATATAAAAATTTATAAAGCTCACTGCTAGAGTAGCTTGTTTTGCCATTTATGATTGTGTATTTGACCATTCAACCCCTAGCTGGGTCTGCCCACTTATAGAGTGGTAGTAGGTCCACCTAGAGAAAACCATGATAGGTTATCATTAATCTGCATGTATATAGAAATATATAGTTTGTATGTGATGATTGATGTTTAGCCCTAAAGAATTTCAATATTCAAGATGTTAAGTTAATGCTTAATAAAATGTGCTTGCATCTAATACCAGTTGTGGTTTCAAAAAAAAAAAAAAAAAAAAAAGTAAATAATATTTAAAAATATTGAAGAATATTTATTTTTTATCAAATATATAGTATATACAAAGAACCAATTTAATATAATTAAAAATTTGTGAACTCAATATCAAACCAATCTAAAATAGCCGTTGATAACTGTGTATTTGACTATCTGATCTCAAGTTAGGTCTATTCACTTATCGAGTAATAGTTGTGCAGTAATAGATTAATTTTAATTTGTATATACAATATATAGAAATAAATAGTTAATGTAATATCTAATTGCCTAAGTTAATAAAAGGCTCGTATCTAATACCAGTTGTGGTAAATTAAAAAAAAAAATTTTTTTTTCAATCAAGTAAATACTGTATGGAGAGAAAAAGGTAAGAATAACTCTATAAAAATTTTACTTTTATAAAGATTCCGTTCTGGTGATGAAAATGTCTAACATCACGTGTCACATATTTTGTTGTGTATGGATTTAATTCAAAGCTTAATTATGCATTGCTTCAATTGTAAACGGATCCGGTTATGCGGTCCGAGACTTGGCGCATAGACGCACGAATTCATCCAGCTGCTTGCATTTAATAAATGCATTTTTTATAATAATGAAAATTCAAAAAAAAAAAAAAAAAAAAAAAAACGAAAAATACCTGTAATTAAATGTGTTTACATTATACAGTATGTTTGAAAAGATAATTAGAATATCACAATGAAACAGAAACATTTATTTTGCGGAATTGTAAAATACTGTATGCGACTGCCTGAATTGATTTCTGCATATATGGGGCGTGCATTGTTGCACTCTATAAGGACTGGTTTCTAGTATAGTATTGTTTCCTCATCATTCTTACCCGACAATAATTGTTGGGCGTGCATTTAATGCGCCCAAATAATTCTCGGTCTATGGGTAATCTGATTGGCCATGCATTTTAATGTCCACGTAATCTGGCATTAAAATTTTGTTTCAACTGATAAAATTATGCATATGCTTGAAAATTTAACATAGATTTTTGATATCAATGCTTGCGCGAGATGCTCTTCTGGCAATGTCAATTGTTAGATTTACTTTCGATAATCTATCTATCAAGGGGATTGTTTGTAATTAAATACAAGTTTACTTTAAACCATGAAACCAAATTTGGTAGTTTCCTAAAAAAAAAAGTGTGAGCCGCAAAGTAATGTTTACTTGTTAAATAATTACAAGATTGCCCAAATGCAAACTTAAGTCCCTTCGGGATTGTCATGTAGCATCAACTAATTTAGAAACTATTGTTAACTGATTTTTGTCGTTTCTTTCATAAATACTTCCCTGTAAAAAAATTTTATGTGCAGTCTAATAAGAAAGGAAGTGATTAAAAGGCATCGGTTACACTATAATTGACAGGTGATCGTGTTAAATTGGCGACGGGGGTGGTGAACCGAACTAAAAGTCATCAATTCGATAAGTTGATATTTCCGGGCGGTTTAAAAAATCCTTCGCAACATGAATTATTGCAAAATTGACCTTAAAAGTAAATTGATCTCGTCAGATCGAATATTAACAATATCCGTCACCACGTTAGGCTAAAACTCTTTTTCTTGATCATTATGCCCGAAGCATTTGGGAAACCCTTTTGCTGGCAACTCCAATAAATTGATATCCCCGTCGTTAATATTGAGAATTGATTTTGTGGAAATAGTTTTTTAGTCTGTAATCCGAAATGGGTTTCTAAAAGATTCAACTTTTATGGTAATCAAAACTTCACGCTATATATAGAAGAAAAAAAAAAAGCAGGAAGGTATGGCTGTACATATCATTAAAACTGAATTTCGGCATGGAACAGAAATTTTAAAGCACGATTGCGTTATGAAGAATCTTGGGCAACAGTGGTCTGTTTTTCGTCGGGTGACACCTCCACTTCCTGAGGTTTGTTTTCATTTGCCGCATCAGGCAAATTCACGGACATTCTCTTTGGCTTGATAAATGTTTTTGGCAAAGGTGGAAGAATACCCGCCTATTTCACAAAAAAAACGCAATGGTTGGACAAGACGACGTCTAAACATGACGTGCATGGAAGGATAAACCTATTTCTCACCCTGGACAAAAGTCTAGCCACTGTATCACTGGGTTGAGCACCGACGGTCAACCAATATTTGATTCGGTCCTCTTTCCATTCAATAGATTTGACACCGTCGGGTCCAGGAATCGGATCATAGACACCTAATTTTTCTAAATGCTTTCCATCCCTAGGAGATTTTGAATTGGCTACAACTATATGATAGAATGGTCGATTCCTGATGCCATGACGTGCCAATCGGATTCGAACGACCATGTTTATTGTTTCGGTGAGATATTGATTATGCTGAAAAGAAGACATTTCGCCAAGGGAAATTCTTTTTTTTTTTTTATGCGGGTTGATCGTGTCACAATTCCTTGTCACGTGATAGGTAGGTCATCATATTTGAAAAGTAATTTTTTTTAAAAAAGAATCGACGTGGTCAAATGTTTATTTAAAAAGTTTCCAAAAAAAAACCTATGTACACATTTTTTTTTTTTTGAGATTACCAAAAAAAAAAAGGAATCGTGTGAAATGAAGAAATGTTTATGACGTATGCATCACCTTTTCTGCAATGATAGAAACAAAATTATTATTACCCCCCTTCTTTTTTATATACTGTATATATGAAATTAATAATAATTGCCATTATCATAATAATAGCCGTAATCATCGTTCAAATCATATTCCTCATAATCGCTATCAGTATTCCCCCCTTCGTATATCCATTCTGTGCCCACTACGGCCGCACATTTTCCCGGATTTATTGGCATCTTCCTGAAGTGGGATTGAGCTGGAAATTGCAAAAAGAAAAGGTGGATTTCGAGTTGAGGCTTCTCAATTTCTGGATTAAAGCTGATAGGAAAGGGGCAAGATACCTGCTTGTAAAACGTTCTCTGTGGGTTTCGACATCCAGGGGAGTATTGTTTTGACATTTGAATGTGAGGTGAAACGTTGCTCTAATGAGAAAAGAAAGATACGTACGTACGTAAATGTTCATTTTTTTACAATCACGTGATAAAGCATCACGTTACCTGAAGAGGACGATTGTACTGATAGGGCAATCGAGTAATCCAACTCATCCACGAATTCGAGAGGCTCAGAAACCTCGGGATCACTTGTGTACGTGGCTCCGATCACCGACAAGCATTTATTTCCGTGCTTCTCGGCGGCGTAAATTTTATAAGCCTTGACCCATTCATGATACTGGTGGTAGAGACCGTTGTCACCATTCCGACTTCGAAACTTCACAACAACTATGGCAAACACACCGCATTCGGAAGCCAATAATAGGACGCAAGGTTCTTGTGGTTGTTGGAAGGAGGAGGTGAGGGTGGCATTCCAATGAAAATCGTAAAGATACCTGAACCCGGGTAAATGATTCATGATACCGTTGAGAAGTTCTTCCGCGTGTGGGGAAGACTCGGTGACATCCCGCCAACAATGATATCTCCATCGATGCATTTTACCAACATATTCCAAAAACGGTATGTACCAAACTTTACTAATTGAGATGAGATTATCCATATTCTCTTTGTGTTCTTTGATCTCCCAATTGAAATCAAAGGTGACCGTGCTGATCGGGTCATAGTGAACTCCGGCGACGTATGGAAGATACTTTGCCGATTTAAAGGTTCCGATGAACTGATCCAAGTCGCACTTTGAGCTTATATCTCCGTGAAACATCTTCTGCTTCATCGTTCGCAGGTTGGCAACATAGGTCCCTTCTTGAATTGCATGGAAAACCATCCGACACATCCTAAGTATCAAGTTCTGCAGGTCTCTCTTGTAATCGTTATCCATAACGTGGGAAGTGGTGCACTCTACACATTTACACTGTGTCTCCATTCCTAATTTTAACGAGCGGCACCTTTGGTGATCAAACCTTATCGTTTTTTTACGCGAAAAGAAATCGTGGGGAAACAAATCGTTACGAGAAAAGTGTGAAAAGAAGGAAAAAAAAAAAAATTTTTTTTTTTTCCCTTAAAAAAAGCCTGTTACCCTTCTCATATAGTCATTTGATTCCGAAGTTCCAACCAATGGTTGTCAAATATACATTGTAATCGGAATACGGAAGAGGCGTTTTTTCACATAGTTACACCGAGAAAATAAACTCTCACAAAGAATATACTCGGAACGAATCCAATTGTATAACCGGCGAGGTCCTTTCGAAGGTCTTTCACAAGGTTCAGATTGTCGCTCTATTGTCAGAGACGCATTTAAAACGAATTCACTTTTGGAATTACAATGACGATTATCATAGCATTACATGCTCGAAGCTGCGGCCCCGCGTGTGATCGCATATACAAACACAATTTTCAATTCGTGGTCATTTGACAAATCTAGGTCTTTATTGGTACGATTGAGGGCACATTACGTAACGTCGGAGGGTTGCGTTTATCATTTTATTTATACTATCGTTGAGTAAGCCACCACAAATATTTTTATGTTCGGAAATTGGACCGGCCATATATTACCATTACTACTATTATCTTCTTTTTCTTTTTTTTTTTCTTTTTTTCCAAACCGATATGTGCGTATGGGCTTAGCACCGCATCACTCGGCAGGAGGATGAGACAATGTTAGACGAATGTCTTTATTAAATAGGAAATATTGAGTGTGCGTTAAACACCTGCACTTAAAAAAATAACGGTTGAAATTCTGTGCTTGCCCCCTTGACGAAACCCGCTTGTTCACGGTGCAGGCATAAAGAATCAAGCGCTGTACACTGTGCGAGAGAAAAGATCACGCATCCTACTTTTTTCGCAACGCCACTTCACTCTCAACATTCTTTCTTTGTAAAAGTTTCAAAAAAAATGAGAGAGAGAGAGAAAAATAAAATAAAATAAAATAAAAATGAAAAACGCGGGAATTCGATCACGTGACCATCCCTCAATGTCTTTTGGGTTATACCTTGATGCTGAACGAAATTCTGGATTTGGAAACAATACCAATGCGACAGATTATAAGGAGACACAATTCTCACGGACTGAACCATAAAGAACAGGAAATTCTTTCTTTTTTCTTTTATACTTGAATCATTAATTTATGCGTTGGTTACACGCAAGGCATCATGACAATCTCTCGAGAACATTGTGGTGAAACGAAATAACAAATGGAAAGGGCCTTGCTTTTACCGATTCTTTCTAGGTTTCCGTGACCACATCATACGGTCCGCGTCAGCGAAGATTGGCGATCACGAGGGCATGAACGATATGTTCACATGACCGATTTCTGCATTACGTTTTCGTGAGTATATGTAGTACATTGTGAATATTATGTAACTTTTATCTGAAATGGATTAAGGGTTGGATTGTCATCTGAATTAACAAACTTCCCATACTTGGTAAAACCTAATCAAAAAAATTTTTTTATCAAATCAACCTGTCGGATCATTAATGATCTATTGGAAAAACGTACTCTTACAGAAAGGTTATTTTTTATGTACAAAAAAAAAAAATTTTTTTTTTTTTTTTTAAAGTATATGTTTTCAACAAAATTACGTTATATTGAGTGAACCCAAATAAATATCACACTTCAATATTCCATACATACAGGTTGACAATAGGTAAGTCCCTATTGTACCACCCAGAGTTGGCATCAAACTGAAAATTCGGAATCGGCGTTCATCCGAAATTACGTGTGATGTTGATATTTTGTTGGTTAGATTATCGATCTTTCTTTCTTTATTTCTTTCTGGTGAGAACTTTTTGTGTGAGCTGAATCAACGCATTCCGCGCATCCGACTCTGGTAATTGTGAAATAACCGCGATGGCCTTTTGACAATGCGATGCGGCCAAGATCCTTGTTTTCTCAATACCTTCACTCCGGTAAACCAATTCTCGCGCCTAGGTGGATTTTAAAATGGCACATTATTCTCGGAGTCCACCTCCAAACGGAGGTTATTCATCATGCCAATGAAATTTACCTTTTCGACGTCACCCTCTAGGGAAAATTTACGATTTATCAACGGACCCAATTCGGGATACTCCTCCCACGCGTACAATACGGGCGCAGTCGCTAGTCCCAATTTCAGATCGGCACCCACGGGTTTCCCTAGTTCGTTAGCCGTGACAATGAAATCCAGCATGTCATCTACCAACTGATGAGGATGATATTCAATGCGGCGATGTAAAATTAATGATGGAGAAGTGATTGACAGTTTGACACGGGAAATGATCGTTTTTTCACCTGAAAAGCCAGACCCAAATCCCGACCGTACGCATAAGCAATGTCACAAACTTCTATTGTGGACCCTCCCAACACCGACGCTGCCCTACAACTTTTTGCTATAAGACTCGCCGTCTTCATATAAGTTTTATCCATGTAATATTCGAACGTGGACATGTTCCCGTCTCCCCGCACATTTTCGAGTTGCATGAATTCACCTTCAACAAGATTGGCGATCACGGTGGACAGTAACTCGATGACCTCCGGGTTTCTCAATCTCGCCAAGGCTACGGACGCACGAGCGAGCAAAAAATCACCGGCTAGGATGGTCAGTTTATTACCATAGCTTGCATTTGCCGACGGAAGATTACGGCGCGACTCGGAAACGTCAATCACATCATCGTGAAGAAGTGACGCGGTGTGAATCATCTCTGTGATTTCGGCCAGACGACGTTGCGTGGGAAGGATTGTCACTCCTTTGGGGGAACGCGATGGTGAATAAAGTGTAGAATCCATGCTACCGGTTGGGAGCGATGAGTTCCCATCGCGGGCGGTGGTGGTTACGGGTGATAAGGGTTGATCGATGATTTCAAAAAAATCGGCGTGCGCCGCGCTGCATTGTTTCGGAGCTATACTTGTCGCTTGTGACATCAACAGGATGATCAAGGGTCGTATGTGTTTTCCTTCCGATGTGAAATAATATTTGCTAACAGTGTTCAACACTGGATGTCCGCTGCTCAAAAGAGCTTGAATGTTTTTGGTAAGATTTGAAAGGTCTTTGCCAACAAGCTTCGCAGGATCGAGGTATGATCCGCCGCCATGTTGAACCAATCTCTCGGCCTCGGTTATTGCTTGATTCCACGTTTCCGCACCTCCGATAAACTTTGGCGCACTACCATCTATCTGTTTCGGGCTCGCCATACTTGCATTTCGGCCCTTGAGAAAAAGCGTTTTAAATGTATCAAGACTATTGGCCAGCCGTTTTATCAGAGACGGCTGAACTTTGGATGTGTGTACCGATGCGTTTGAAGGTATTATCGATTTTCGCGTTCCGAACGTCAGCAACACCGAGGGTGACGACGAACTCTTTCTAAAAGCGTACCCATGAGCGTGCACACGCCTTGACAGAGCATTCGAACGGATCGGCAACATCTTCCGGGGTCTATTGTCCAAGAACGAGTAAATCGAAAACCTCTGATAAAAATTATTTCTGAATTGATTTGTTTTGGTGGATAATTGTTATCGGGCAAATCTGAAATCATGTCAACAATTTGGTGCGTTAGGTTGCTTACCTTGTAAAAAAAGTGTGATCCAAGTATTATTCGCGACTGCGAGATTTTAGCATAATTCAGATGATCGGAAAAAGAAAATCCTGTTTTTTTTTTTTTTCTTGCGAGATGTATGGATGCACGAAAGCTCGGGAAAGAAATCCTGCAATTTTTGGTCAGGATAAGGCAATCGTTTCTTTAAAAAAAGAAAGAAAAGATAGGAACTGTTAAAGTTAGTTATAAGCCAATCGGGTGGCTAATTTCCGGATGGAGGAGAATCAGCGAACGATTTGGATCTCACCTACATTCAACAATGTAAACCTTAATTCTGCGCAAAAGCTTGAGAAAACAAAAAACGCTGATCCACGATTATATAAGTTTTGTGTCGCACAGATCTTTATATGATAACTACCAAAATGGTAAATACACTTCCATCGACCTAAAATAGCATATCCAGTTTCATTCGAGCAGCCTCCCTTGCTCTTGGAAGGACAAAACGAGAAAAGAACTTACTTCACGATAAATTTGATAATAATTACAATCGCATCTTGAAAAATGGCCACTTGGTCGTCACGTATCATATCAAAAGTTCAGAGTCGTGAATTTCGGCAGTATCTCATGAGGTAGACGTTGTGTTATTATGTTCATGTTCGTTTTTTTTTTTTTCTTTCTTTTTTTTTTTTCTCCCTGATCAATTAATTGTCAATCATCGAATTGCTGACAAAACTTTATAATGTTCCGTGACCGCAAATTAGCACGGTAAGATTGTAATTCATTCACTTTCACCTTGTAACATTATCAACCAACAACTTTTTTGTCAATCCACCTTTTTTTTTTTTAAAAAAAAAAAAAAACCCCCCAAAAAAAATATATATATATATATATTCACGTAGCACTTTTGGGGACCAGGTTTGTTGCACTCTTTTCGAGAGTTTGAATGCACCCCCGACCAATCAATCCGACCATCGATTCTTAACCCTTTGACTCATAACCATTATAGTCGCAAACTGGACTTTACCCCTGGCTGCCATCGCAGATTCCAACAAAGATCCCAAAATCATATCTCCCAGAATGACGACCGGTAAAACTATTTATCCCCCCCCTTTTTTTTTAAAAAAATTCTTTAAACGATCGTAAGAAATTTACTTTTTTTTTTTTTTGGCCAACGTTGATTCTCACGTTATTTTAGCGATGTGCGTGTATTCTATCATGTTCATGAGATTCGCTTGGATGGTGAAACCACGTAACATGTTACTTTTCGCTTGTCACTTCACCAACGAAGTTGCTCAACTCTATCAAGGTTTTCGTTACATCAGATATAATCAGTAAGTTATCATTGCCCATACTTCCAAGTCTGTAGTGCGTTATCAAGCGGTTAACGTGATGTTGATCTCCCAATTTTTGGAAACAGTTTCGGGAATAAGAATGGTTCATCATAGTAAAGAGCACGTCTCAAAGGATAAGATAGTGGTAATAAATTAATCCTTTGGCTAACGCCGTAATGACTCGAAAGCAAATATGCCATTGTAATTTCAATGATCCGTGTGTAATCATTCATTCACCATTAATCATCGCACGTCCACTGAAATAAAAAAGGATAGAGTGCATCGAACAAACATTTCGTTGAGATTGAATTTTGAACTGATGACTCGTGGATACACCAGTTGTTCTATTAGTATAAACAGGCATGACCTGGTGGGTGCATAACCTTGAAAATGAAATGAAACAATAATAATAAACCTTTGGGAAAATCGATCTATCACTTCTCGCGCCATGCGTGCATCTTTCCGACGCACGCCCTATATTGACTAGTCGCCACTCGATAGGTCCCCTCCGGCATTTTTAAAATTTCTCCGAACACAGGATATTTCCGATCTCTTTACTCGCCTCTTTGATACATCGTTCCGAAACATTGATCCCCTGTAAAATCATCATCCCCAACCTTCCTTCGCCAAGGCATTGGCACACCACCTCCAAATGTTCGTCAGAAATGAAATTGCACAGGTTAAAGTCCAGCATTCTCAATCTTTTGATCCCCCAATTGTCAAAAAATTCTTTTAAACTTTCGGGGTCAAAATTCCAATTCAAATTGTACCTAAATGTGTGTACCGTTGATGGCATCACTTTTCCCAACTCCTTAAGAAACTCGTTTCCATCGATCGTCGAAGGTATGAGAAATAATGACGGAAACGAATTGTGCACCAACTTTGCATCTTCGAGATGAACGTCCTCCATCATCACGCAATTTTTCAATAAATCAATTACGCATTGTCCTCGCGATGCATCAATCGATGCCCTAAATTTTGTCATCTTCCGACAATTACTGATACAACTCTCTATGACCTCACGGAAATGTTTTATACCTATCAGTTCCACATGTCGCACCCTTTCCTTGGACTGACTGAAGACGTGTGTCAGGAATTCCGTGGGGAATTGCTTGCACATCGTCACCGACAGTTTGTTGATTCTGGTGAACGACGAAGGACTGAACTCGCCTATCGTTACCGAGAAAGATTTGCAATAGTCAAATTCTAATTCTTCGAGACCTCGAAAATTGTCGAGGGCATTTAGCGAAAAAGGTGTTCTGAAATCTATCGAGCTGAGTCGAAGGGAAACCATCGATCCTGCGTGCATCGCGATACTATCAAAAATTGCATGAAATCCTTTTTCACAACATCCGATCGAAACTTTCCGAACCTTACGTTGCGCTCTTATCAATTGCGCCGCAAAATTCATTTCACTGGTGAGCGAAAGTTTGAATTGATAAATGTCCTTGGATATCCTGGCAGCAGAGGTCAATAACTCCGGTGAACTTCCGTAACATTCGAATTTTCGAATTCTCGCCAAACTGGTTTCGGCACCAGGAAGTTCAAATATGTTTACTATCCGTGAGCTGGCTAAATGGACACTCTCAATACTTGAGTGACTGATGAATTGCTGACATAAAATTCCAAACAACGCATCCTCCAACTTATTTTTATTAGCTTCCGCCCAAAGTTTTATGCTAATTCGAATTTTCTCGGGGTTCAGATGGGAGAGGAATCTAAAGTAGTTGAAAGCACAAGGCGTGGTAGCAACCACACCCATCATCTCTTGATATGACCGAGGTAGACATTTGATGTAGGTGGTGATCAGTCGAATGTGGCGTGATTCTTTTGCACGATCAAGACAAAAAGGGTTCCTCCAAATTTCTTGAATGGATGATAAACACCAATGCCGATTTATTAGTGCACAGGCATGCAGAGTTGCCCAATCACCATCTAGGTCGAGAAGTATCTCTCGGATGCAAAGACTGGGAAGCACGGATGCCATAATCGATGACGACGGTGCTGAGAATTATTGTGCGAAAGGAAAAAAGGTCGTTTGTGAGGTGAGGATGAACCGGAAAGAACCCTTATGCCGATGCGGTGGTACGTGCTTGGTGTATGTATGGCGATCATCGTAGCGTCGGTGCGTACGACAAACCTAAAGAATTCGTGCATGTTGGTAATTTGTGATACAAAATTCCTTCTTTAATAGAAGAGATCCGATGCTTCTGCAGGAGAAAAAAATTTGTGTGCACTCACATACGCACGTCATGCAAAAGAAAAATTTTCAGACAAATGTCCTCAAAGGGGACTACCGGGATTGAACCGGTGACCTATTGATCTGCAGTCAATTGCTCTACCACTGAGCTAAATCCCCTGAGGGTGTGATAGGATCTTCTGATTAGAGAACTTTGAAGACTTTGAAGTTTATAATAAACTAACATGGTTTAAAAAAAAAAAAACAAATGTCTCAGAGGGGACTACCGGGATTGAACCGGTGACCTATTGATCTGCAGTCAATTGCTCTACCACTGAGCTAAATCCCCCGAGAATGCGATGGGATCGCTCCGCGGTAAAACTCTATCGAGTTTCTAATATGCAAAGTCCGCACGATGAACAATGACTCTACTGCGCCACGGTCACCCTTTTTTTGAATCCGCCATTAGCGAAAGGTGTTTATTGATCACATAATTTTTTTTTTCACCACCACCACCTGAAATGACCACAACCGGTTAAACATCCCTTATGACAATAGGCGCGCATAACAAAGTAATATGCAGGTATACGAGACGTAAGGAAAAAAAAAAAAAAAAAAAAAAAAAAAAAAAAAAAAAAAAAAAAAACAGGAAACCATCAGGGTATCTTACCTCATTGCTGGAATGATCGTAAGGAAATCAAACGACAAATACGTAATATTTTGACCTATTCTCCCATTCTCATATACGTATACACGAATTTCCCTTAAGCGCGAATCCTTCATTTCTTGATCTCATATTACCAAAAAAAAAAAAAAGATGACATCACAAAGAACAATTAAGAGCAAAAAAAGCAATGGGACATGCAGTGAAGAGCAAGAAGGGTGCATGCATGGACCATTCTGGTTTTTAAACCAATTCGTAGACGAGAGAGGCTTAGAGGTTTTCTCCAGATTGTTCCGTAATCTACAATTTGATTATGCAAAGCAAAATATCATCCATGTGAGAGAACCAACATCGCGATAAATAAACATAACGCCACACGCGTGTTCGCACTAGTAATTGTTTATTTCGTGTTACTTTAATCAATCCGTAAAATGCAACTATAATTTTTGCACATTAATCACCTGACTTCGTCACAATGTTATAATAACAATACATTCTAAATCTTTTTTGTAAAACAGTGAAATCTACTTCTTGTTCAGAAATAAAAAACCCTCCCCCCTCACTTTTGTAACCAGCCAAAGAAACCGAATTCCAATTATCCGACTTCAATTCCTCTTTCATTCGAAAAACAATTGTCCAAGAATGTATTCGAAAGATTTGTCGGCTGCCCTTCTCAGAGACATTTCAAACATTTACAAAGGAGCGGATGACTATAATCTACATATAATCGTGGGCGAAGAACCAAACACCGAAGTTTTCAAAGCTCACTCTGTGATTTTGCGGGCTAGGTCTTCTTATTTTCATGCCGCGTTATCGAACAATTGGGTGGTTAGAGACGGCGACATGATGCGTTTCAAAAAGCCAAACATTTCTCCGGACGTATTTCGGATCATTTTGAAGTAGGTTCCTTGGCATAAAAAGATCTGAATCTGCAGTGAAACGACGAATTCTTCATGGTTTATTTATTTATTGATATTATTATCATTTTTTAATATTACCCTTGCATCTTAAGATATATTTATACGGGGACGATTAGCTTGGATTCGAGCAATGGCGAAATCAATTTCGTAGAATTACTTACCGCCGCCGACGAACTAACCCTCACCGATCTGGTCGAATACATCCAAGATCACATCATCAACATGGATCGTACCTGGTTTCAACAAAACATTATTCAACTTTTCAACACCGTCTCGTGTCACGAGATGCTCTTCAACAAACTCCTCGAGCACTGCACAAAACTTATAATCAACGAACCCAAAATCCTCTTCGCTTCCGGCGACTTTGGTCAATTACGCGAGGACGCCTTACTTTCCATCATCTCACAGAACACCCTGCAAATGAAGGAAATTCAAATTTGGGAATACCTTCTTAAATGGGGATTGGCACAGACCAGCGGCAAGTTTGACTCGGACCCCAAAAATTGGAGTCTCGAGGAATTCCGAGAGTTGGAAAAGGTGCTTCACAATGGTATCCCTCACATCAGATTCTTTCAGTTGTCCAGTAGCGATTATTATTACAAGATTAGACCTTTCAAAAAACTCTTGCCCAAAGAACTTCGCGAGAATCTAAAATTATTCTTTATAATTCCTAATAGTATTCCAAAAACTTCTTTCTTACCACCAAGAATTCCAAAGCTTGCTCTTGATTCTAATATAATCGATACTAAACGTGCAGCATTGCTTTGTAGTTGGATAGATCGTAGGGAAGGCCCTTCAGTCTATCTCCCCCACGAGAATCCCTATCACCTGAAACTTTTGTTGAGGGGAACCCGAGATGGATTCTTGGTTGAGAACTTTAGAAATCGGTGTTTCAATCGAGGTCCAACATTGGTGATCATACAATCCAGTTCCTCGAATTCCTCGACGGGATTGACTCGATCCGGTCAAATTATAATTGGTGGCTATAATCCTTCGAGCTGGTCGGGATCGAATAAGTTCACGCACTCCACCGAGAGTTTCATATTTTCATTGTGTAGCGACGCACAATCCCATATCACTACGCTAAGCAGAATTGTAGTGGAGAACGATGCAATTTCAGATGATGACAGTCAATTCATTGGATTTGGACACGGAGACTTGTATATTTTTAAGGGCAGTTGTCAAAAGAGAGACTACATGTACGGGATTTTGGACAAGACCAAGTTTTCGATGGAAGAGTTGGAAGTTTTTCAGGTGGTAAAAGATTCGGACTCTTGAACATGTTGATTTGAAAGTCCGGGCCGGCGAAGGCTGTTTAAAATGACCAAATCAGACATCCGTCTGTACTTACAGTTTTGCTAGATCAAAGCTTCGACCATAAACGAATTGAATAATCATTAAATGACAAAAGGACTCGGATGTAAACATAAGAGAGGAATCTTCAATCAGTTTCATCACCACCAAGATTTTCAATAACAATTACTTTTTCTTATTGGTTAATTAAATCGACTTCCCTCATGTAGTTCTAATATTAATCCATGTACAATATTTCTTTTATTAGAAATTTACTGTCAAGAATATTTAAGCAATTAATTTGTATTAAAGCACATTGAAAACCTCAGATTATTTATCATAGGCATTTTATTTCAATGACACATTAAATTCGTGTATAATAAACAAAACCTTTTGTATTTAAATGGGTTAAGTTATTTGAACCCTTAAAAATAGAAGAATTTAAAATTATATAATGTATAAGTAGAAACGTTATTAAAGTTTTGAAGTAAATTTAATTTTCTTTATCAATTTAGCAAAGAATTTTCGCTCAATTTATAAAAAGATTTTTTCAAAATTGATAAGAATCTTTTTTATTAATCTTCAATCAGATTAACATTTATATATATATACAGTATATACAGTATATATAAAATATTTACAAATTATATAATTTTTTTTATATATTAATTCATTTGTCATTGAAGTTTACCTTTCTTGAATTATTATTGAATTAATCATTATATTCAAATTCAATGTAGCATTTTTAATATGCTTTGGAAATTTCTGAAAAAAATATTCAAGATGTGATAAAAGGTCTAAAGTTTATTTGTCAAAGATTGAAAATCAAAAAGGCAAGAAATGTTATTAAAACTATTCTTGAATAGTAATGTGATGATTTGAGAAATAATAAGAGAAAATAGTAAGCTTCTTGAAAATAATACAAAAAGCAAAATATCGAAATCAAATAGAATAATATCAAATACATAACAATATAAAAAAGAAATAAGAAGATATCATTAAAAGGCATTCAAAAAGAGAAATGTAAATTATAACATTTTAACAATAGATTGAAAAGAAAAGTATAAATCTGATATAAAGATCTGATCAAATCAATTTCTCAAGAAAAACTAGATAAATGCTTTGAATATTTTTAAATAATAAAGTCAAAAAAATTATAAATTAGTTATGAAATATCAAAAAAAATTAAATTAAAAGAAAAAAAATTTTTGAAAAAATACTTAATAACTTTTTAAAATAAAAAGTAACTCTTATTTATTAAAACAAAGTTATATATATCTCATAGTCAAATTGAAATCATAAGATTATAAATTCTCAAATACAAAACTTATTATATTATTAGACGTTACAAGAAAGTATTTTATCAAAGTTTTTATCAATAAAATGGATAATATTTATAAAATTAATAATTTTTTTAAAGTTCTCAACTATACAAGGCTACTAGAAGAAAATATAGTAAAACAAATTCAAATTTTTAATAATATTTGTAAAGATACAGAGAAAATAAAAAAAAATCATGAATACTTTTTTAAGGTATTGCAAAAGTATATAATATAATCAATTTAAAAATACTAATAAGAATCAAGATATTAAAAGATTTTATCAAGATTATAATATATCTATTTTAAAATATAGAATTTTAATACTAGTCAAAAAAAAATTATTTGATATATTGCCACTCATATAATATTTAGTAAAAAATAAACAATTTAGCAAAAAAATAATATAAATAAATTGATAACTATATAATTTAATTATAAATATAAAAAATGATATATTAATAATTTATCAAAAAATTTATTAACAATTTATCAAATAATCCAATAACTATTCAAGAAAAATTCATTAAAAGTTTGTTACAAAATTATTATTTTTTTTTTTTATTTTTTTTATTTTTTAAAGTCGTAAATGACGAGATTTATTAGAGTTAAGATTTGACAGTACATATAATTATATGAGCAATTTGTGTAACTAATTTTTAGTGCTATCTAACCTTTATATATATAAACCCAACTTAATTTTATCTGCAAGGTACCATTATGTCAGTACGCCCTGCTTTACCTAGGCAGTAATGTTTATGGGGATCTATCACAGACTTGTATTATTACTTTATCAAAGGGCTGGGGTTTTTGTTACCAATGTGAGGTATTGAAACTTGTTTTTGTGTTCCGGTGTGAACATCTTACCGTATTTAGACTGCTAGAGTTACCAATTATTATTCAAACCTATGATTTGATGTAAGATTCTAGTGGTTGAATAGTACATCATATTCGATTTTTATCTTCCATTTAATCATTTTTTAATTACTCTTTAAATATGGTCTTTCAGGGGTTTCTCTTGGTTACTTCATAGTGGATTACTTCTTCCATTAAATTGGTTACTTTGGTGATTGTTTCCGAATTTCTTCTCTCAGGGTCTACCCTACATTTTTCCATTGTGAATCTTGATTCGACATCACTCAACCTTGGTTAGGTAGGTCATCCTTTTGTGGTAGCCATTGATGATTAACAATGCATGTCTCCCAGTATGTGTTTGGCCCATTATGCTTTCGACTGGTGCAAGTGATCAAAGTCTCTCAGATCTTCTACAAGTGAGTTTTTTGAGAAGAGATGAATATCCTATAGTTTTTATTTACTTAAAAATAATATTGTATATATAACGATTTTATACATAGTAAATGTATTATATACTATATATACTAACTAGCCTGTTAAAGGAAACCACATAACACTTTCTTAATTTTTTCCAAAACACTTTTATAGAGTAATCTAGTTATCAGACTGTTGCATTTGCTTTAACCTGTCCCCAGATTTGGGACTTTGGCGTGGTCCGTATATTCCTTCTCCCACCAAGGTCTCCCAATAATAAGTCATAGCAACTGGCCATACTTTTAAGCATCCCACCGATACAATGTTTACTCTCTTCAGAATTTCAACCTTCCTGACTTGTGACAACTTCTTGCAGTCAGTAAGATCATCAAGGTACCTGACACCAATCCAGTCTTCATTCCGGTTGATTGCAAGATCAGTTCCGTCCTTCTCTACCTTATCAGGGTACTTATAAGATATTGATCATCTCACAACACCTGTAGACTGGCCTGATCTGATAAAGATTAGCTACAAGTGACACCATGTGGTGGTAGATTCTTCTATTTTGGTTATCAGTAAAATAACCAGGTCTATGTCCAATGATATTTATTGTCATCCAATGGAGTACTGAATTCATTGTGATGTAGTATTTTTACTTGGTCCCATGTGATATTGAACTTTGGACCTTGTGATTGTGACATGGGAGCACTACTGCTGTGCTATGGATTCACAGGTCTTGTTACAAAATTATTTATTGACAATTTTGACATTAATTTATTAATAATTTGATAAAAATCTGATAAAAATTTATTAATAGTTTATTAATAATTCAGAAACTATTCATCAAAACTATTCATTAAAGTTCATTACTATTTACTAAAAATTTGGCAACTATTCATCAATAATAAAATAAAAAATTGATAAACTTATATATAAATTTTTTTGAATTGAAGTTATATTTATAAATTATAAATAATACAAACTATAATATAATATATATAAAACTCTTTCTGTTAATTTTTAGTTTATATATAAAAAAGATATTTATAAAAAATTTATTTTTTGCTTACAAAGTCTTAATATTACCCTTAAATTAATTTGAAATTTTACTTTAAGAAATATTTTTAAACTCTTTCTTTTGTTTATATTTATCTTTAAAAAAAAACTTGATTTCTTGTAACTTAAAAAAGTTATGAAACATCTTTTCTATCTATGACAAAAAAATTCTATAAGAAAAAAAAACTAATAATATAGTATTGAAAGTTTTTTATATTGAAATATGTCCTATAGAAATTTTTTACAATAGAAGATAACAAACATTAAACCATATTTTCAAGATATATATATGTTGTTTCTTTTTTTTATAGTTATCAAAATTTTTAGTTTTCTGTGAAATTTTGTCTATCTCAGTTTGACACTAAATTTTAAATAATACAATTTATTGCAAAATATATTTGGTGGACATCAAACATATTAATAAATAAATATAAATAAGTATTTATTAGTTACTTTATATATTCTAACAATATCATTAATAATAGGAAAGTTGATTAATATTTCAATTTTGTCCTGTTTCTCCAATTGAGTTAATCTACAGATCAGATTCTATAAGATCAATAAGATATAAGCAATAAGTTTTTAGATAGTAAAAAGATCAATATTTGTTTAAACTGAATTTTTTTTTATTTATTATTCTAATCAGAAAAAGTTAAAAATTAAGTCTCTTTCTTATCTCAATTAGATAATAAAGTTGAATGGTCTCTAGTTTATGTTAAGCTCTAACTCTTTGATTATAGTTGAGAATATATTTTTTTAAAAGTTATTAAAAAATATTGAAATCTATAAAAATTCCTATTACTTATAATATATTCTTACTATTACAAGGCAAAAAAAAATAATACAGAATCTAACTTTTTGAATAATAGAAGATATTTACTAGTAAAATTCTTTTAATTAGATATAGTTACTAGAAGATATATAGAAACAATATGACTCAATCTCTATTAAGACACATAAAAACCTGGGGTTTATTATAATTTTCTTATTTACTATATATAAATAAAAAATTATTGTCTAGAGAAAATTAAAATCAAATATATTACTGGAAGTAAAGGTTTTTATTAGACAACAAGTCTCCTTAAATAGTATATAAGAAGAAAATTCAGATAAAAAATAAATAAGTTCTTTAGATAGCTGGAAGAAGAAAAAATATCACAATTAGAAATTTTTTATCAAAAAGAAATTTAAAAAACAGGTTTTTGGAAGAAACTAGAGAATTATATTTTTTTTATCTCTTTATTTTCTTGTAATCCATTTAAATATTTTTAGATATTCTCATTTTTCTTTTATTAATATATTCTTTTATAGTTTTTTATATTTGAATAACTTGATAAAACA